AAGTAAGACACCACTTGCCCTCCAAGCCGACTCTGAGACATGAACAGATGCCACCACTCCCAGTCCCCTCAGAGAGTTAAATGTCCCACTTTCCCCAGTGCTGCTTGTACAATCAATGGCCTGCTTTCAATTCAGGGCAGCAACTTCACCGACGTGTGCAGGGTTTGCACACACGTGTCTGTGTTAGAGCATGGCTGTGACTGCCACAGGGAGCGGGCAGCAGCAGGTGCAGCAAAAGATCTTAACTGACTGCAACTTCTGTGTTATCACGAAAGACTTAAGGAAGAGCTCAACTGGGAAATAAAGACAGAATTAAAAAAAAGAGAGAGAAAGGTAATTTGGCAGTAGCTGTGGCCTACAGGCTGCCTTGGAAACCCCCTGAATTCTGCACTGTGGTGTCCAAGATCAGAGACATTGCCACTATTCTAAGAAAAACCCTTGCTGAAGTGCAGGCTATTTAGTGTTACCCCTGCCGGGTAAGGCAGGGGTCCCTTGAGTAGCTCACTCCTCACACAGCCTGCCCCTCTACGCACAGCTCACAAGTGAGGGAATGCTCTCCCCTGACACAGCAAACCTTTGCTGCAATGCAGAAATGCAGTAATTTAGCACCCAGATAAATTATTTTGGGATGTCTGCACCGTACTGAGGCTGACACATCCCACAACCAAAGGGATGTGTGCTACAAATGCACCAGTTTTCTTTCTCGGGAATCTGTGTCTTCGCTTAGTTTACAAATGTGCAATGATCTCAGGGCTGAATTGTAGCGTCATCTAAACAGGTCTACCATTGAACCAAAATGTTCAGTTCTTCAACAGCCTTATTTGGCAATGGCAGCAAGACTGGCATTTGGAGCAGTATTTCTACTTACATACAGAAAGGAGCGTTTTTCCCAAAGCGCTCAGTGGCAATGAAGTAACAAATAATGGCAAGCAGCATTATGCACACTCGTTAAGCTAAGAGTAAATTACCAAGCACGCCTTATTTTCTAAAGTCAGAACCAGTCCCTTAACTGTATGGGCAAAATTCTTCAGCTGAGTCCCTCCCCTCTGCTATACAAATTTTACATTCAGTTACATAGCCACAAAACAGGGTTGTTGGAAGGAGTCACCACTTACTTATAATCAAAACCACATCAATATGACTAATCACATCAGCTCTCTTACATATTGGGAGCCTAAGGGCTTCTATTTACAGCCTTTAAATAAAACAGCTTGTCTACACGTTTTTCACTAAGCAATACAACTAATTCCTTTTTTTTTAAGAAGCAGCTTTAATACCTGCCTGATGCTTGAAGGCCATGAGACAGTACTTATGATCACACTCGGCAGAATACATTTGCATGCTGCCCTGTCAGCCTGGGAAGGCTCAAGTGCAGCCTTTCAGATCCCATGAAGACTTAAAAACTCCCAAAGTTATGTTTCTTAACAGAACTATGCCTTTTTTCTACTGTGACCCAACACTGCCATTATCAACAAGGGTGAAAAAGTGCTTCTGCTGTAGTAGTAAGTTTACAGTACTTCTTGTGCAGGCATGACTGGTCTGCAGAGAGAGGTAGGACATTTTTCTTCCAACTCTATGACACAGCATGTCTTCAATGATTGGGAGGTTTCCCAGGGTTTTACACTGGGAGGGTAATTTCTTGCATGGTTGCTGCTCCCACTAAAAGTTTCACTGTTTTTTTTTCCAGTGGTTAATGGACTTCCTTTATCTTTCCACCTTCTGGAATCCTTCTATGGATCATCCACTGGAGAATGGATTCACATGACATGTCTAAGTATTTGACTTGTTTTGATCTTTTGGTCAGCCTGGAAGCCTGTTTCCCACTTTCCTTCTGATCCCAAAGAACAGGATGTTACCAACAGTGATGGCTCTAGTCTAACTGCCATTCGTGCAGTAGAGCCCCTCCACAATAACACAGCAATCATCGATGGCCATGGGAGCTCAGCTACAGTGGCCATCTGACCTGGCTGCAACACAGGCACATTTGAAGTCCAGTTTCTTAGAACCTGTGGTACATGGTAACTTGAGTCATACTGATGTCTGCTGAGCTTGTGTGCTGAAGCATTTGCAGGCTCAGGCCCTGGAACCAAACTGAGTCTTTAGAACTCCTGTGTCTATTTTTCCAGTCTGTCTGTTGACAAGTAAGGCAAGTACCAAGTATCTGTCACTAGTAGGCAAAAATAGAAACAGAACAGGAAAAGCTATGGACCTCAAAAGGGTTTCTGGAATTTCAGTGCAGACAAATCTCTCATGATGAGCTTATGAAAGAACTGCCCTTGAAAGTACTATGGAGAACTTTTGGAAGAAAAATCCTGTAAAGTTTCAAAACAAAAGACTATTGCAATAATTAAAAATTACTCTGCAGAGGATGGTGACAGTAATGTGAGAAGCTCATGATCTATCAGAACTGGAGTAAGCTGATAAAAGCCCAGAAGGGTTAAGAAAATAGTCAGTTCAGAGAAAGCTTTGAGATTGAAATAGTATTCTCAGAACAATTTGTAAGCATGAAAGCCTTCCCCTTTGTGGGTCTCTAACAACACTGACAGACTTCAAGGGAGGCTCCAGCTATAGAGGACATAACTTTGGCCTAACACAGGACACAAGATAAAACCTCAAAGTGTGTGATGGTAGATAATATCAGAGCCACAGAAAGTCTCCAGACAATGGCCAATTCAGTGGAGGCGTAGGTCTGTCTCTGTTACATGCTGTACCAAATACACGTCAGAGCCAGAGGTGTTTGTCTCTAAGCCACACGAAAAGAGTTCAAGCTTAAGTCTAGGAAATTAATAAAGAGAAGAGAAGCTACATTGGCTCATGCAATTCTGTCTTTGATGGTGGCCACTTGTAGTTGTGTAGGGAGAAAATATAGGAAATAAAAAGCAGAAGAAATCTCCTAATTCAGCTATTCATGGATTGAATTGCTTCATTTTCAACTGTGAAATAAGACAGAAAGTACTGCATCCCACTTCCTAAGACTGTGACAAGGAGGTGTGGATGGTTACAAATACTCCAGACTTGTGTACTGTAAGGTTTCGTTTGATGTAAATTAGTTTCCCTTCATGCATAGGCCATGTGCAACTCAGTCAAAAAGGCTCTACACTAAAATGAAGGGGAGAGAGAAATTATGTCAGTCCTCTGTTACTCAACAGTAAATTTGTGAACATGGGGAGAAGGGAGTTACAAAGCAGCCAGCTACCCCATGGAAAGTACACAACACTGGAGATAAAGAGAAAACCTGTCTGGGGTATCACGGAATCACAGAATGGCCGGGGTTGGAAGGGACCTCTGGAGATCACCTCGTCCATCTCCC